CACTGAGGTAAATGTCTGCTTGGGGGTGACCCTGCAGGGAAAGGGCACCAGGGACACAGAGCCATCCTTTCCTTKCATCCTTATGGTAAAACCACATTGATGGGGTGGGATGGAGCAGGAAAAAAACAAGGAGCAGCAGCTGATTTCTCTGAACCTCCTCACACAGACCCAGGACTGCACAGAATGAGAAAATGGCCTTAATTTACCTTCCTCCACTTCGCAAAAGGAAGCTGAGACATTTCAAAGCAGCTGACAAAAAAATCTTTGAGSCTTCTTATTTTCCTCATTAATCCCTGACCAGTCTCAGCAGCCTCTTAAATCAGCTTTCAGATATAAGCTCTTCCAAGTAATTAGTAACAAAAATCAGAGTTTACAAACCCATTAATGGAGCAATGGATCCCCTTCCACTGCTCTACTCCCAACCCCAAGCCCATGGATGTCCTTTTTGGYCAGCAATAACACAAACAATCCCGTGCATGGATCAGGACATCACAGAAAATTTGTGTGCTTTTTTTCAGATGCTCGGGCCGTAATGAGGCATTAATGAGCTGCTAAATTCAGCGCAGGAGCCAAGMAGCAGCACAGCTCTCCAAAATCCRGAGCCATGCAGCATCTGCTCACCTGGCACTACCCACAGAGAGATTCTCCCTGCGATCCTCAGCACACCATCGGACCAATTGCTTTAAAACGAGCAGAGATGGCAGATTTTAGCAATGAATTGGGGCWGTCCCTCCCCTCTCGGTGTCCCTTGGCACAGTTCAGGGTGGCATTAGCCCAGGATGGGGCACAGAGCCTGCCCTGCCATGTGTTACACATCAGCATCTCGGGCTCTCCTCTGACCCAAGCAAAGCTCTCAACTCCCTCTCTCTCTCTCTCTCTCTCTCCCTGCCAAGCTCTTGATAACTTTTTGGAAAAAGAGTGTTGCTAAGAATTAAAGCTTTAAATAACGAGTGACGAGTCCCCCAACAGTCCAAAGAGAACATGAGCTGCTGTAGCCAACTCTGCTCCAGCAGCAGCTGCCATGGACCAAGATGTAAAACACACAAAGCACAGAGAACAGGACCAATTTCAGTCTAAAATCCTGAGAAATTGGTTTAAAATGCTTTTTATAGCTTACAGGTTATGTTTTCATGTCAACAGTATATTTGGGAGAAAGCGTTTTTCTTGGAATTACCCCTGAATTTTTTGTCTCATTTTGCAGAGGTGATGAGCAGTCCTTGGCATAAATGAATTTTGCTCATCCCCCTGTGTCCTGGCACCACTGTAGGAGTGTTTATGGTCTGGGCACATTTCCTCCAACACAGCCACCCAACAGCCTATTAAAATGATAAAATAATAATAAAACAATAAAATTATTAATATTTMAATTAAGGTTAATATTTAAATTAAATCCTTTAAACACTGGATTTAAAACTACCCTCAGTTCTAAATGAGAATATTTGATTCAGTGTCATGAAGTAAATATTTGCATAAAGAGACATACAGATAAGTGTGCCTCACATGATAAACTGACAAACCAGCATGGTTAATCCAGAAATTTTTATGACTGCAACATTTCCAAAATTAAGTAAGATATTCWTTAAAATGCACCATGCAAAGTAATTTATATTAACGAGATTCCCATTCTTTCTCCTCCATTCTTAGAGGGTGCAGGGCCACTTCTTTGCTRTAAAGATCATCTTGGGTAGAGATGGTATTTTACTATTTCAGTCTATTTAATATTAATTGACATGCTCAGGGATATTGCATTAAACCCTAATTTGACCAAAAGGACTTAGCACAATCCTCCTTTGATGTACAGTCTTACCAAGATAAATTCAGAAATCCTTCTTTTAAATGGAAATACTAAATCAGGCTAGTTAAAATACCAGCTATTTGTTACTAAATCTTACTAAAACTTTAACTTTGTACTCAAATGATCCCTGTCAGCMTTTATATTCCCTCTTCAGGCACACAGAATTCCTGTTGACGTCATCTATGTCTGTGCAAAACTGTGAGATTAACTAATATTAACCTCCTTGGTTATTTTTGYATACAGAGGGAAATAAAGTTGAAATAAATCCATTTCATGGAATCATATCCTGTAATTTCCCCTCGATGGGCTGCAACTGAACGAAACATCTGGACTCACAAACAGTATGGTCCCCATAGGTACAGCTCTGCTGCATTTCATTGTTTTCCTGGCGGTCCCCCCTTGCTGCTCGTGTTTCTGCCTCAACGAGGTGTCCAAAAGAGAGTTAAAAATAAGGCACAACACAAGCAGGTGCCCAATTCTCACTGMCAGAGTGCTGGGAATGCACCAGGATCCTGCCCAGGGGTGCAGCACCTCGGAGGGAGCCACAGGGAGGGGATGGAGAGGTGACACTGAGCATGGCCCTCCCTGGCAGCTGGGGCTTGGAAATGCAAATAGGAAATGGAAATAGGAAATGGAAATTGGAAATTTTTACAAAAATGCAAGTGTTCCTGCCAGCCTGCTAACATCAGAAAGCCTGGCTACTCCCACCCTCCCAAAAGATGGGCAGAAGCTGTGCTAAGGAGGCCATGGAAGACTGGTTTTGGAAAAAAAAAAACCTGCAACAACAAACTGCTCATTGTTTTAAACAGCATTTTGATTGTAGAGTTTCATTCTTCTGCATTTAGCTGCACTTTGTCTAACTGTGCTTCAGATGGCTTCTACCCAAAGCCAGATTTTAGATTTAATTAATATGATTAATCCCAGCTTCAGGATTGCATGGCAGCCCTGTGAAGTTACAYCCATGAAACTGCAGTGATCACTCTCCTGACTGGACTGATGTGATTTAAAGATCACTGCCATTTGCACTGAAGGATAAGGGTTCATTCCATCAGAACAAAACCCCAATAACTGATCAATTCCAGCATATCACCAATAGAAAATAAAATAACCCAAAAAACTGATCAATTCCAGCATATCACCAATAGAAAATAACCTCAATAACTGATCAATTCCAGCATATCACCAACAGAAAACAAAATAACCTCAATAACTGATCAATTCCAGCATATCACAACAGAAAACAAAATAACCTCGATAACTGATCAATTCCAGCATACCACCAATAAAAAACAACCCCAATAATTGATCAATTCCAGCATAACACCAATGAAAAATAACCCCAATAATTGATCAATTCCAGCATATCACCAATAAAAAACAACCCAAATAACTGATTAATTCCAGAATTTCGCCAATAAAAAACAAAATAACCCAAATAACTGGTGAACTCCAKCATAACATCAATAGAAAACAACCCMAATAACTGATCARTTCCAGCACGTCACCAATAGAAAATAACCCCAATAACTGATYAATTCCAGCATMWCAYCAATAGAAAACAMCCCAAATAACTGATCAATCCCAGCATAACACAAAAAGAAAACCCAATCCTGGACAGGCCCCTGCCTGCAGCAGCGTCACTGTGACATTTTGTGGCACATGCCAACATGAAACACTGTCCCCAACACAGGCCTGCTGCTGTGCCCAAGGCCAGATGATTCAGCTGCCTTAAACACTGAATTATAAATAGCCCAGCAATACAATATAGGTGCCTTTGTGGCCTGCAACATTAGCCATGAGAGGTGCAGCACAGCCCAGCCCCGATAAAACCCCAGCACCAGCCTGGCACGGGCAGCAGATGGATAAGGGAGCACAGACAGCTCTGAGTGACCCCACACAGCCCAGCACAAACCCTTCTGGCAAGGTCCATCTAAAATTACAGCCCCTAAAACATCAGGATGGCAGCAGGGAAGCCTCATCTCTGGTTTACTCTGCCTCAAGGGCTGGAATTTCATAATCTGATGCTGAAGCAGGTACCTGTCTGTGTTATTTAACTGGAACTGAAATTTATATAAAATGATTTCTAAGCAAGGCTTTATATTAAATTTTAACTACTCTTCACTTTAATGACTATATATCAAAGCCAATGTGATTAAATATGTGATTCTTCTTTCAAAGAATCACATATTTAATCTTTACTATAAAATCCACTCAGCAGTTCATGCACCCAAAGCCCTCAGAGTCACAGGAGCAGGGTTGGATCTCACACTTGTTTTCTTGATTGCACTATTTCACCCCACACATCCAGATAAAGCTCCCTTCTGATAAAGAGCAAGGCCATACACAGTTTTYCCAAGGATCATTATTAACATCAGGCTTAATTTTTCATCCCAGACACATTACTTCAGTTCCAGAGGTTTAATAACCACAGGGGAAGAAAATTAAAATACATCTACACACACTGGACRATTCTGTCAACCAAAGGACTCTGTTCACAGAATCAGAGCAGATCATGATTATGAGAAGACAATCAATAATTGTGAGTGATCTGAGCAATATAAATCAAGTTTAGGACACATGAAGAGTGCTCCCAAGTTGTACAATGAAGAATTGCATTTTCATGAACACAATCTTTAGGGGACCCTTTCACACACAGAGCACATCTATGTTGTGTCTTACAAAACTTCATGTCCAGGGCTGAGACAAAGTTGTCAGGAAAAACTCAGGAGGTCAGGGATTGCCTGAGCACACACCCAGTGATGAGGAAATGCTCTCAGACACCAAAATATCACTCAGGGTCCTGCAGAGCTCACRGCAGCTGAACGTGTTGGGACTGGAGCAGGAATCTCTCTTTGCCATCTGGGACACGTTCAGCTTTTGTTGTGACCTTTTTTGCTTTTTAAGTTCCTCTTTGCAATGCCCTTGTGAGGATTTAGGTCAAAGCCAAGTTCCTGAGGATTTTTCTGGCACTGAACATTTGGGTCTGTTCTGCTCATGTTTCATTCTCTTTGTCACGTGAACATTTGGGATATGATTCATGTTGCCCTGACTTGAACAAGCCCTGTCTTTTTTACCTCCATTGCAAATTAAAGATCCATTTATTCAGTCAACTCCATTTAAACTCCATTATTTTAATTTTAAATGAAAGTTCCCATTATTACAAACTGTCCAGAATTGCCATGGCGAAGATTTCCCTATAACTGATCACACTACATCTGATCTGATAATATTAATTAGGCYATACTGGAAACCTGACATTTATTTCAAAGAGCTGCTCTACCAGAGGAACTGTCCTAACTCCAACAAGTGAGAAGTCGGGACATTTCTTGAGAAAAAAATCATTTCGATATTCTGATTTCTCTTTGCATCAGGAATTATTTCAGTATTCTGATTTCTCTTTGCTMTTTAGCCCTGACTAAGGAAAGAACTGAACTTTTTACAGATAAAATATATCCCTACCAGAGCTCCACGTATGGCAACACATCTGGAGAAGCAGCAGTGGATAGCCAGGTTGTCACTGAGTGTTCATATTCTCCTCTCTCATCCACATCCTCAGCCAGGTGAAAATGCCCAGGATTTGTTGCCCTGTGTTTTTTTAACTCCACTCCTGACACGTGAACATGTCTAAAATTCCTCAGGATCTGTCGGGACAAACGCAGATCCGAGCAAGGAATTACAACAGAAACACACACTAAAAGAAGAACAGGTCTGGGGSTTTGTTGGGTTTGTTTTCTCTGCCATTAGGCAATATTTTCACAGTCTGGTCCCAGGAGGAAGCGGGAGCTCCCTGTTTCCAGCTCAGGAGCTCAGAGCCGTGTGCCAGGGAGCAGCTGCCAAACAGCCCGGGCTGTGTTTAGCAATTGCAGTGACAGACACTGCTCCTGCCAGCCACAGAGAGGAGGAGCATTTGCCACCAGGCTCTGTTTCCTGGCAGCTTTTGCTGCCAAGTGATTTCAGCCCAGACCTGCACAGCTCCTGGTTCCCACCGCCTGTACAGGAGCAGCTGCACACAAATAAATCCCCTGCAGGATCTGAAACTGTGAGAGCAAGGCTGCACCTCCAGYAGAACAGGGAAACAGCCAAGAGAGGGCAAAAACAACCTGCTCTGAACAGGTTTGCTCTGCAGGAGCCACAATTTCTTCAGTGACTTCTCATGAACTGACTTTACCAGCAGCAATGCTGCTAAAGAATCCCCTCAGGTATCCCCCACATTTCTGTGGGCACGGTGAAGAAAATGGCAGAGTCTCATTGTGAGTCCAGTTTTGCAAGATGGACAAACAAATTCCCCCCTTTTTCACAGACAAATATYCTTTTCCCCACACAAACAATAGTATTTTGCTTTATATCACTTGTTAGCAAACTGGGAGAGGATCTGAAACCAMCTACAAGCAAATGCATTGAAAATTACTCACTTTAACTTGTCCTCTGAATGTTCCAAAAGAGAAAAACTGGCATTGATTTTGTCCATAACAGGAGTCTTCCATTTCTCATTGAATATTTSTAGTCAGAAGATGAACCTCTGCCATCATATCAACACCATCTATGCCTTCTCCAATGTGAAGATAAAGTGGGCTGCCTGTGAAAAACAGAAACCTTTTTATTCAGGGTGCACACAGCATCTTTATTATTGCMTTTATCTTTATCTGATCAAGTGCACACCTTTTGTTTAAGCAATCACCAAGTCTGGGGACATGCCCAGGGGTCAGCATCTGACCCCAAAGGAGATCAGCCCTTCCCCTGGCTGCTGCAAAGCAATGCTGCCTCTGRTCAAACTTTCAAACCCCAAAATATCAGAGCCTTCAGCTCTCATATGTGCCCTTGTGTTTATGGGACGAAAATTTGTTATAAAGAAAGTAAATGTAGAATGCAAAAGAAAAGACAATGAGAATATTTACCACAAATGAGTATTCTGTTAAAAATATTCCACACCATCAGTTTTCAGTTGATTACTTCAGGGAAAGGGAGGAGGTTCAACTCTTCAGCCTGATACACAGTATATCCTGTACTGGCAATGACCATCCTGCCACAGGTAACCAACTTGTAACCTCTGATGAAGAATTACTCTTTTGGACACTTCCACTTTAAATCCATTWTGAGACACCCCTGAAAAATGAAGCAATCAATTGGTTTTGCAGTTGCACATGGCAGAATCATGTAAAGAGATGAAGAGTATACTGATTTAATTTTGATTTAGATAACCCTGTGCATGATAGAAGTGCTCTAGCCATTAAAAAATGTCAGTGCCATCTCTTTGTAGAAGCTAAAACRTGACTTTGAGTGAGTTCTGCTGTGAGTTTGGTCAACACCCAAGTGAGCCAAAGGCTATGGTGTGATTATCACTGCTCTGTTCCCATTCACAGGAGCCAGAAAAAGCAGAGCAAAGCAACAGAAGACAAGCAATTTTCAGGGAAGACTGAACCTTTTATCCATCCTCTGAAAGCAGTAACAGTAAAACGGGCACCGACGTGTGTGAGGGAATCTCTTTGGGCTGTGGCTAACTGTGTTGTGCCACTCCCGCTTATCTTCTGCTGTGGAAAGCTCATTCCCCTCCGAGGATCCCCACCAGCGCCCAGGGCTGCCTGAGGACAMCGGGAAGGAGCAAATCGGGGTCATTCCGAGCCCTCCACCCGCAAAGATCTCGGGCAGGAGGGAGCACTCAGCGTGGCACAACTCCCCTCCCTCTGGCACGGGCTG